AAAGATGGTTAAAAAAAAAAAAAAGGATGCTATGGGAGAGAAACACAAGGAGCAAGGAGCTTAAGCTGTTGGGGCTCTCCAGGGACTGTTTTTCTCATGCCAAAATAGAAGATGTTTATTAACATTTCATAATCTGCTGCTTGCAAATTGTTGGGTGGGCGTATCAACACTTCTGTGGTTTGTATCTGTTAAACACAGAAGCTGCCCAAATACAGCAAAAAAGAAAGGAAGTGGCTTGTGCAAAACACCTATCCCCCAAGGTAGGTGCTGCAGCTGTGAACTCTTTCCTGTTGATTAGCATGTGGGAGGGTGTTTGCAGAGCAGTGGGAGATGTGTCCAACACAGACAACTGCTGCATTGTGAACTCTGAGTGGTCCTTGCTCAAGGAAAGGGGAGGTACTTGGTCATGCTGGAGACAGGAGATGGGTAGGAGGCTTCTTGAGATTCTGGGGAGAATGTGGAAAACCTTTAGGGTGATTTAAAGTGGGGGATGGAGGGAGCTTAAATTAAGTTTAAAACTCCAAGCCAACTGCTATAATTTTCTGATGCTCTGAGCTCTTCATTCAAGATTTTCAAAAGGGCCTTGCAGGGTGTTCACGAGGCACCTTCTGTTTCCTTTGATGTGAGGTTCCTGACCTGATTTTGGAGATCTGCGACGTGAAAAATGTCAGAAGAGTGAACTCCTGAAGAACATTTGAAGTGCCTCTCCATACCACTGCAAGGGAAAAGAAGTATTCCTTCACTCAAAAGCTATGTCTTGAAAAGAAGCACAAATTCTTCTAGATAAAAAGCAAGGAACTCCTCAGGTGCCCAAACATATCTGATTTTCTGCATGTAAGGTCTAGCTGTCTTGTGAGTGGTCTTTTTTTCCTGCTAAAATCCTCTAACAGATAACCCTTTACAGTCTGGAAGTATCAGGGCAGAAATGAAAGGATGAATGGCTATGGACACAGGTACCCAAGTCCTTTCTACATGGCTTTCTGCTGAGTGCACTGGAGGACTTGGAACTCTGGACTGTCTATTCCTGGCTGTTGTCCAGACAAAACTCACTCCTCTGAGGCCCTTGGGTAGCATATTTAATTGTGAGCATGCATGTTGTGTCACCATCAGATATCTTGTAAAGTGGTATTCATTCCTTATTTCAAGAGATAATGTATGTAGGAAATTTAACTTTTCACATTTTTTTAACTGAAAATATTAAAAATAAAATTGACTCTTAATGTTGTCATTCTTTTTTTTTCCAAAGTGGGCTCTGTGCAGATGATGTAATTCATAATGAGTATCTGAAAACAGAATAATAAACATCATACATATATAAGCATGCACTTTTATAGAGTACTACTTACTGTCTTGTCATTAAAGGCGTGCATAGTCAGGACGGTTGAGGAATAGCAGAGGTGGTTTCATTTATACCTACAGATGGAGAATTGTGCATTTATAGGGGAAATAATCCTGCTGGCAGGGTTAGTTTTCTGAAGTATTTGCAGAATTGCATGCAGTTTGAATGCTAGTAGAGAGAGAAGCATTTTTGCATAGTTCACATGCATTTTTCTAATCCTTGAAATTTTAATAAGTTGATTCCATTTAAAAGAAATTCTGTATGTACATCTCTGAGAAAAAGACTATGGCCTAATTTACATATTCTCTTGTGTATATTAGCAGTTTTTAATATCTTTTCTTTGTTCATTCATTTGTTTTACAGGGAGAATTCTGTCAGGCACAGTTCTGTTTGCCTTCCCATTCCTTGTTTTCTTCTTCACTTTCTTGCACCTGGGATCTCTGGTCAGGTGCAGGGACAGTCCTTCTCTTCAGCAAGCAGATGATTATAGGTGCTGACACCAGGAGGAAAAAAGTCAGCACCCAGAGGCTCAGAGACACTGCAGTGCCATACCCTGCAACATAGAATTGAAATAATGAGGTGGTAGATCCACCAATGCCAAGGCCCTTCTGTGGATTTCATTATCTGCTGAAAAAGTGCATATTCCTGCTATAGAGTCTGTTTGATTGAGAAATGGTCTCAAAAATGCATCCCTCCAAGATTTTTTTTTAATGCAAATTTAATGAAGGGAAAACTTGTAAACTCTCCTCACTGAACTATGCTCACAGAGTGAATGCTATACTTAAGGGGAGGGCATTCTGCATTGTCCACTGTCATGGTGAAGGAGGGCACAGCTAGCATTTGACAGAGATGGATGTCCTCTCATTGACAAACGTACAAAATCCACAAACTGTGAAAGGATCCATTGTCTCACCCCACTCTCTGCCTGCCTGTTTTTCCTGTTCATGATCCTTTTTATATGTATTTATCTCTCTGCACACATGCACAGCTACAGTTTTCTTTTATGTATCATCCATTCCTACGTGACTGTTTCCCACACGATAACATTGCTCTTAAAGGTATTGATGGGGGGAACTCAGAGACGTGTACAAGTATCTGTGGAGAACACTAAGCATCTATCAAGAGGTAAAATAAGTATTCACTGTCTCCTGATATAGTGACTACAGACCTTACAGAAACCTCCACCATAGTGTACGCTGTCTGAAAGCCAAAGGAAAGGGTGTGCCTTGGGAAAGATGTATAGGCATGAGAAGACTGTCCATAGGCCCCGGACAGTAGCCAGGTAGGGGACAGAGAGCACGGAGTTGAGGGTGATCAATTTCCACTAAAAAGTAGTGACATAGAATGATCTGCAGAACTGAAAATACAGCCTGGATGCTTCCAAAGAAGTGAGATGTCTCCTGCCATTTGTGGTGACTACATTCACTGCACTGTACAAATCAATGACTGAATAGAATGGCAAGAGTAGAAGTAACTGGAGACAGCAGATTTTTCTGGACAATCCAGAGAAAAGGGTGGTCCTCTAATCCTACCAAACTGAACATCCAGTGTGCACTCAGACATCAGCTATGCAGAAGATATAGGTGTTCAGCAAGTTATTCAAATGGACACAGCCTAGTCCCTTAGTCTCTTACTTTTGGAAAGCAGGGCCTCTATGAAATATTTATTCATTAGATGTCCTACTTCTTGGACTGAAAAGGAAGAATGTAAAACCATTCTCATTGTAAGGAAGCTCTAATAGGAAGGATATCAACATGATCCAGGGGTTTTTGCACCTGTAGCTCTGCCTGTCTCTGTTGCCCCAGTACCCCAATCTCTGCTAAGCTGTGCTTGCAGGTACCTTGTGCTGTAACTTCCAGGAACCGGGGATTGCTAGGAAGGGAATTCCTCTCCTGGTTTTGCTCATCCTTGTGCTGATAGTGGCAGAAGTATGTTCCTGTGCTTTGAAGGGTTGCTTGCCAGGTGTACTCAAAGAAGAACTTGGATTTATCCTTGGCGAGGACCACAATTTCTTTCCCATCTCGGCAGAAGAAAGCTCGTGTCACAGGTGTATCTGGAGGCACCACACAAGTGAGGGTGACGGTGTCCTGTTCATGAACAGAACTCATTTCCAGGAATAGTGATGGAGCTGGGAGTTCCCCTGGTGGAACATGGTGTAATTAAAGCTCCATCGCTCATTAAAAGGGAGATGGAGAGAGGGTAAAGAGGGTTGGTATTTTCCTAGCAATGACAAGTGGATATGCAAACCACACAGGTTTGTTCCAGAGAGTTTCACGTTATACAAAGATAGTGAAGCAACTGTGGCTGAGCCCTAATGTGTGATTGAGCTTGAGGTCCATTGCTGCTCTACTGGTACCAAAGTTGCCTCATGCAGAATTCCTCTGAGTCTTTCTGCATTAAGTGCAGTCATACCTTCAACTATGGCATGTACATGGCTCAAGACAAAACCGTATCTGCACTTCCCCACAGTAATTCAGTGGCAATTTCTTTCAAGTTATTTGGGGAAATTTGTGTGCAGTCTGCCTGGTGCAAATAAATCAATGAGGCTAAAATACCTTATACCACATTGATCTGCCATGGATCTGCCAACTCAAGTTTCAGAGAAGTAACCTGGTGTAAGTGAGACCAGAACTGGGTCAAATTCTGCTGTGTGAATTACTTTGGGATATTTTTAAAAATGGACCTGTTTTAGCAATGCCTGCATTTTATGGGGGCACACACGGCCTTCAGCATGGCTTTGGCTAATGCCAAACCCAAATTCATTGAGAAAAATCATTTTGATATATTTTTCCAGCAAGTTGAGGGAAAATTAAGTCTATACCTTTGTATTATTCTAACATTTCCCACACTTCTAAGATCATTGTTAATTGTATGCAGGTCAGATGCCTATTGAGTGTAGTGGAACTGCTTTCACTTCTGCCAGCTAATTTGTATACTCGATGCCAGTGCAAGGTCTACTCCTCCATCCGTGGTCACCATCTTGTTTCCTAATTCATTCACACTCAGGCTTATGGAATATAGGTGATTGCTTTGCACAGGAGGAGGGGACTGAGATCATCACACACTTTTTCCTTTATACGTATGAGTCTTCTCTCAGTGAAAATAGATAATGCCCCATTAAACTAAGGAGAACTGTTTTTTCCTTTCTGTTTTAATTCAGCCATACGATGAGAAATGGGGCCCAGAAGTTCTGATTTTTAATTGCCTCTATCACACTACTACTCCTACTTACTAGAGCTTCTTAACTGTCACCTCTAGACTCATACCTTTGCCTTAATCCTATACTCCATGACTTTTTCTCTTGCAGATAACATATTTTCCATCATCACTGCAATACTCAATGACCTGCCATTCACAAAAACAATATGGAGACTTACTCACCTTCAGAGCTGCAAACTTCCTGGCTTGTAACAGCTGAGCCTTTTAAAGAAAATACACAATCATACTACTGGAACAGATGAACTGCATTGACAGGAATAAAGTATATTAACAATTTATTGTTCTTTTTCTACAGCAGAGTAATAACCTCTTTTTTTGCCACAGAGAAATAGCCTTCACCAATTTGCTTAGCCCATACACTTGGTTATTATTCATGAATGGAAAACATCATTCTTTAATAATACTGAAATAAGTTGACAGTTGCACTCCGGATATTTCTGACATTCAAACGACTGTGTATTGTCAGATAAGACCCACCTACAGTTGTTTTGCCTTTTGGAATTGATTATGGCCTGACTTCAGACCCACTTACAGTTCCTGTTACACACTAGTTTATAGAAAAATTCAGTGAGGAGTGAAATGGAAGCTGAGAGGCATTCCCAAAGTGACTTTGAGGAAAAATACACAGGCTATATCTGAAGAGCAGTGCTCATGGGGCTTTTGGGGGGCATCCCCTGGCTATGTCCACGTTCATGCTGGGGTGAGACCATACCTATCCTTCTGATATCATTTCTGTAAGAAGGCAGCACAAGTGCGTAAACTGAAGAGAGCCACGCGAGGGAGTGTGTCAATTTGTGCTCTTAAAGCTCACGGAGATTGCTTGTGCGAGCCTGAGTGGGCTCAATATATTGCTTGCCTCACCCTCCACTTTCCAACATTTGTCCAGACTAACCCAGCCCATCCATGCCATAGATTCACAGAACCATTATGATTTGAAAAGGCCTCCAAGATCACCAAGTCTAATCACAAGCCCGCGACTACCATGCCTGCTAATCCATTTCCCTAAGTCCCTCATTTGCACACATACTCACAGAGCAGGCAGATGACCAGCACCGTCATCCTCAGGAGAGGTCGCATGAGTATGAGGTGTCCTGGTGAGCCTGGTATTGCAGCAATCCAGTAGGGATGGGATCCGTCTTGGTCTCTGCAGCTTGGTGTCAGTGCGGCACGTTGCTCTGGCTGTTCCCTCTGATCTTCAGGCGGCAAAATAGCCGCTTCTATTCACTGATCTCCTGTTCCTCAAGGCTCAGAGAATAGCAAACCCACAGCTTTTGCTCTGCTGAGAAAACTGCTCAATAGTCACCGTGTGGCCTGCGGGATCATCTCCCCTGCACATGAGGATGTGCACCTTGTCACGGACATCTGCAAAACTGGCTCTAACCTGCAAGCTCTTTCTTCCGTAGCTGCTGTATCCCCACAATTCTCATTGCAAAAAAGTGGTTTGTCTGCACAGGAGAGCTTTTGAGAGTCACATGTCGCTAATCCATACGTGTAAACACATTCATAGTATATAGATGTATATGTCTATATATAATTTCTCTCACTGTCCTTTTCTTAGCTCTGAGAGTAGCTACTTCATTGTGCAGGGTGCTATTCTAACGTGACATTTCACCAATATATTAATAAGCCAAGTGAAACCATGCTGTTTCTGGCATGTCTCTGCTGCTATCGCACCTCATTGTCAAAGTGGGAGCACTCCTAAACCTTGCTCAGACCAAGGCTTTATTTTCCACACACCTTTCCATCCTGAGCAGTTTTCGGGTAATGCCAGAACCACAGAGTAGGAAGAAGATGGAGTTTCAGGGGCTTCATGTGTCCCTTAAGTGCTTTACAGGATGATGTCAATGATGCTGTTGCTCGCAGAACTGTGTATTTAAATTGGAATGCACTTCATGGGAGTGGGAGACAATAGATAATACATTCAACAAAAGCACCAAGAAAGAAGTTCCCATGTATGCACAAGCCTTCAGCTTTTACTTGCTGTTGAATCTTTTGCCTGCCTTTAAATCTCCCTAGGGTAACTTAGAACACAGTTTTAGAGAGGTCACAGAACGCTTTTGAGGAAAAATGCAATTTCACCAGGACATGAAATTTCTTAGAGAGCATGACTTAAGCTCAAGCAATGTATGTAATTCTAAAGTCTTCCCTATAACGTGTAAAGGTGACCTGGGAGATGCTCAATAAAATGACAGTGGAGAACCACGGTGTTTAAAGCAATGACAAAATTCTTCTTAATGATGGCCTTTACCTGTAGCTTGCTGAGAGGAATGTTTGAACTGAGCAAATTAATTACTGTAACTAATGATATTTTACTGACCACCTGCATGAAAAGAAGGCAAAGTTCTCAAATCTAGCTGCTCAGTACCAGTCACCAAACTCTTCTTTCAGATTTAATATCCACATCAGCAGTCAACATATTATTTAAAAAGCTGTCAGAGCTTCTCTTGCTTTTCTGAATATCATCGACAGTGTAAATGAGTCCTTTCAGCCTTAGGTCAGCTACTTAGTTTATAAAAATGTCTGAATATCATTCCCGTATGTTTCATACCTCTATTTAATGGTGAATTCACTAATTACCTGTGTAGCCTGGGCTCTATACTGTGCTTATTCTGCATTTTGGACTGATTTTATCTGTGTTAATGATTGAAACATTTCCAAAAATGTTTTGTGTTCAACAGCTTGAGCCTATGAAAGACAGACTGGACAGCAATTCTCTTCACTCTAAAGTAAGTCTCCAAGTGCTTGCTTTGATTCTCTAAAAGCATCCTCTGAGATGCACTGGGATGTCTCATCCAGCCCACAATTCCTCCTCCAAAATGCTGTCAGAGCAATTCAGTACCTTAAGGTAGGCATATCCTACCCGGCCCAGTTGAACGGCATGCTAAAGTCCAGTCTCTGTGTTGAAAAAGCAGGACTCCTTTGCCTATCTGTAGATGTCTACTGCTATTCCAGAGGTTCCTGAGGTTCCAGATCACTGAAAATCGGTTAGGGAGTCTGGCAAGGGTCATGTGGAGGAGATCTGTACCCTACAGAGGCTGCACAAATTTGTAGCCCATGGTATCTCTAATGCCACCAGAAGTTTGTGTGGAGCGGGTGATTCAGTCCCTGGTATTTTTATTATGAGTTCAGTACAACTCCAGGAAGATGACAACAGGATTGGGATTAAAACATTTAAACTTTGAAACTACAATTATTTGAAAAAAAATATTTGATTGATTGCTTTCTTCTCCCATGATATTCCTGTCATTGACTGTGGGCTGGGGACAGGGGAATGACTCCAGTCATTGGACATAATGACTTTGCACTTGAAGCAGAATAAGAAATTACTTAGTAACAAGAGTTGTCTGTCATCATCATGATGTTGTGTGGAGGGTGTGATTCAGTCCCCAGTATTTTTATTATGAGTTCAGTACCACTCCAGGAAGATGACAGCAGGACTGGGATTAAAACATTTAATCTTTGAAACTACAAAAGGGTAGTTAGATCACAATTATTTGAAAAAAATATTTGATTGATTGCTTTCTTCTCCCATGATATTCCTGCCATTGACTGTGGGCTAGGGACAGAGGAATGACTCCAGTTATTGGACAGAATGACTTTGCACCTGAAGTGGAATAAGAAATTACTTAGTAACCAGAGTTGTCTGTCATCATCATGATGTTCAGCCCTCCCCATCGAGAGAAACTCATGCCCTTTCACAGTTTGGAGAAGTTCAACTGGTGAGAAAATAAGCTGTGGAAACCACTAAGAAAAAAGAAAAGCAGCCCTTCTAATAACATCTGCTCACATAGTTGTGGTTATCTGCACAGCTTCCTCTATGTTTCCCTTCATTACAACGTCCTCTCTAAAGACACTTGCTTATTGCACACCAGACAGCCTGAGACCACAGTTTAAAAAAAAAAAAAAGCTATTATACCCAACAGGCAGACAGGCAGTGATCTTCTCCCTTTCTGCTGCAGTTCATTCTTTGGCTAGACTTTCTGAGGTCTGGTCTCTGCCAGAGGGAAGACTAGATGGGAGACCAGCTGCAGAATGTGAATCTATATCTGAAACTGAAACATTTCTGGAAAAGAAAAGGATATCCAGGGTGAGAGGCCTAGTTCTTTTACAAATAGAAATAGTAGGAAAACTTGGGGTATAAAAACCTCTGAGAAGAGAGCAGGACGTTCATGCAGGGCCAGAGCAGCCTGATAGGTCCATCAGTCCTATCCAACCTCCCCAGTATGTGGCTGTGATTCGAACTAATGGCTGTGAGTATGTGGCTGGAATATTGAAGGGGTCTTTCACTCCTCCTCATGTGTCTCTGCTACTTCACATGGTGTGTCAGAGGGTGATAAAGGTGGTTGAGAGATATGGGACAAGTAAAAATTGAAAAGGTCTCCCTAAGAGATGGCACATTGGCCTTACACTGGCCATTTATCACATTGCCTCTTGTGTTCATATGATGTTTGCCTGTGCTGGGACTCTCTTTCACATTAGGGGAAGGGCACTTGCAATTGCATTGGAGGGAAAAAGAACCTTCACTCTTGTGGTAAATACAAATAAGCACCAAGAATGTGAAGGAAGCATCTCAATGGGATACCACTTTTCTGGGGAACAATGCTTTCTTATGAGGATGCCTAACTCACCAAAAGGCATCAGCTAAATATCTGCAAAGACACCAAAAAGCAACAGATAAATATCTGCAAAGAGCATGGGGAGACCTACAGAGCAGCAGTTACTTTTCAGACAAACTTTAAAATGCGGCCGTCTAATGCAATCTGAGCAGGACCAGGTCTTGCCTCCCACTTAATAAGTACGCACAGGGCAAACTGTCTTTTCATATTTCACTTCCCATTTATTGAAGAGAGTCATGGAGTCCAAACACCAGGGAAAAGTGAGTACAAGAAGATGGGTAGTTGCAGAGACTGAGTGCAACCCTATTGTCCACATTTATAGCTCTTGATGGCTCCTCTTGGGAGGGCAAGGGGGGAAAGGTCCTGCAAGGGTGCAGTGCAAGGTCATGCACAGCTCTACTTTGCAGCCTTCCTGAATCCCTCAGTCCAAACTTGTCTCATACTCACCACCAGGATTTGACTGGAATCAACAGATATGTCATAGTCCTGCTCTGGTTGCCTTCTTGCACTTTCCCTTCGTTCTCTCCACAGTCACTGGAGGATTTATTACCACAGCTCAGGTGGCTTGTAAATACCTTTTATTGGTCTTAAACGTCTGTGGGAAATCCCAGGATGTGTCGCTGTTGATGCTGAGGGGTTTCCCTTTCCCTCCTGCCTCAGCAAGGCCTGGCCTCAAGAATGGGTAAAACTGTGTTGATCCTTCAATGGGAACTTTCAGGATAGAGGCTGAAACTGCAGCATCATAAAAGGATAGTTCGTGCTCTGAAAGGTCCAGGTCCACCCCAACCAATGATGGTTTTTCAGTTCTCTCCTGTATCACAGTGTTGGCCTCCTCAGGCCAAAATTCCTCGTTGTTCCTCTTCAGTGACCAGACACCATGCTCAGGGAGGTCCTGCCAGCTTCCTTCTTTCAGGCCCTGCCTCACAGACTCTGTCATCAACCCAACCTCCCAGTCCAACCCATCCCACACCTGCACCTCCCAGTACTGCCGCCCACATGAAAAACCCTCTTTTGCCACCACGATAGGGAGCTGGTGCTCAACAGCAGGCTCCCGGGCTGGGGACTCGTGATAGACTGTTCTCTGATCAGAAGAAATAGTGAGTTCGGAGTGTTTCTGCATTTTATCCAAGGTGATGACCACTGGGGAGAGAGCAGAAGGAACCACTAGTTACAGGCAGCCCAAGGGACAGAGATCCGAATGAGAAGAGGCAGCAGGAGGTGTTGAGAAAAGGAGAGGCAAGGCAGCTTCCACTCCAAGGTCAGTCTAGAATCCAGATGTGGCTTCTAGCCTGACTGACATGCCGCTTGCCTTGTAGGCAGGCACTGATAGTCTTTCCCAAGTTTTCAACTTACCCATGTAGCTTCGAGCCTTTCTGAAATCTGTTAAAAAATGAAAGCACAATTAAAATCAAAAATCCTGTGCCAAAAGGCAAGAACACCCATGTTGGATCCAGCTTCTTTTCTAGCTGCTGGAGAAGTGCCTCTCTACTCCTGAGCGATGCTATCCCACAAGGAAAACAGAAACTGTCTCTCCTGGGGTCAGTCCTGCGTGCATGTGGCACGGCTGCTGGCTGCCTCTCCTGAGCGATGCTATCCCCCAAGGAAAACAGAAACTGTCTCTCCTGGGGTCAGTCCTGCATGCATGTGGAACGGCTGCTGGCTGCTTTGCAGGAAGAACTATGGTGTGGTGCAAAGCAGGAGATCCTTCATGGTATTGAGCACTGAGAAAAGCCTCCCCACATAGGAAATGAGGTAATTTAGCCTTCAGGGAGGGCATTATAGGATCATATATGATATATATGATTGGTGCTCTGTGTAATAGGCAGCTGGAGTCTGAAGGTAATGGCATTCTTT